GAGATGAAGAGGTCGAGGGAGGGTAGGAGGCCTTGGGGTGGTGTCCAGGAGGAGGGGGTGTGTTGGAAGCGGGAGAAGGGGTCAGTAGAGGGAGGGTTAGGTTCACGGTTAAAGAAGTAAGCGTGGAGGCGGAGGCGGCGGAAAAACTGCTCTATGTCCAAGCGTGAGCGGTATTCGTTGATCTGTGGGTGGAGGGGGACTAAGTTAGAGTCTTTTTTTGTAAATGGAAATGGTTGTTGTAAAGCCAGTTCAGTGCTATAAATTAGGAGGATGAGCATGCATGCTAGCGTCGTGTTATAATACACATTCATTTACTCTCTTGCGTTTAGTCTCCCTTATTAAAGAGAGATGTGCATCACAAAGTGGCACGGTGGCTCAGTGGTTAGCACTGCAGCCTCACAGCACCAGCAACACAGGTTCGATTCCAGCCTCGGGCGACTGTCTGTGTGGAGTTTGCACATTGTCCCAGTGTCTGCGTGGGTTTCCTCCCACAGTCTAAAGATGTGCAGGCTAGGTGGATTGGCCATGCTAAATTTCCCGTAGTGTTCAGGGATGTGTAGATTAGGGAGATGGGTCTGGGTGGGATGCTGCGAGGGTCTGTTTGGATTTGTTGAGCCGAAGAGTCCGTTTCCACAGTGTAGGGATTCTATGATCTATGAAAGCAAAAGGATGACTGAAGTGGTTGTATTTTTCAGTCAGCACTAAGCCAATTTCCTGCAAGCAGTTGGTCAGGGATCACCATTTCCACAGACTAGGAGGTCTGTAATTTGCTACTGTACTTGAGGAATGTAAAAACATTTTCTCATGCCAATTTAACTCTTGTAAATGAGTTTTCTTCATGCGTTAAGGTTCTTACACTGATTGGGATTGTCATATTAGAACAAATTTTACTAAATTAGAAACAAGGGAGGAAAATAGCAGATGTCAATATTTATCTGGATTTGCTTCTGCTATTATAATAATGCATTAATTGAAATATTTCAACTATACGTGTAAAAACTATTCAATTTGCCACCCAAGTAAGTTAACAATTCACAGTTCATTGTCTCCAGTGTGCCCACTTAAATGCTACTGTTGCATCATGATTCAAAGACAAAACAATGGAAAAGGCTAGAGATAAAAGTTACAAATGGAAAGACAGACAATGGCTGCTTTAGCTATGGGCAACTCCCAAACCACATCATTGATCCAGTAACATTTATAAATAGGAGAACTTGTTATAGCTTAGGTCTCAAGAAGCTAGTACAGAAACTTTGTTTCTGGATTTGGCAACATAAGCTTTCAATGTTGAGGTCCAGCCATCTGTTAGGAGTGTTTCAACACAGAGTTCAACCTATTAGAAGCTCATAAGATGTATCATTACAACGTGGCTGAGCTTGCTTCTTTGTTTGTAGATATGATCAATGTGACATCATTAGTTTTGATGTTTTAAACAAGAGGGGATCAATGTTCAGAGTTAGAAGGGCAGAGAACTATAATGTCTTCCGGAAAGGGCAGAAGAATTTCTGTCAATTATTCTACCCCAATATCATCAATTGTTCTGAGCACAAGAGAAAAAGATAGAGGATTATTGAGCCAATGGATCCCAGATATTAGAGACTTGATTATCTTCATAGGCTTCTTGGCCTTAAAGGTTTCTCTCTGGGTTACTGAAGATAACCAACCACCCTTGATTTTCCAGGACTGTCCTGAAATTCCCTTTCCAGGGTGCACTCTGTCCAGTGTTTCCACTGTCTCTGCAGACAAAATCATTTGGCTTACTTGGATGCCCAGAGGGCTGGTTGGAGGGCCTCTACTGAATTCAGGGTGGGTTGTGGCAGGATATTTTCTTTCAGGAGTCAAACATTTGAAACAACTCGCCTAACCCACTCCTCTCTGCAGTCAGAGGATCAGCGAACACCCACCTCCAGACCCTCAGACTCAGCAAACTAAACCCGACCTGACAGGCTTGGATGCATCTACGCTATAATAAGGCTTTTGAAATTTAATAAATATCCTACAGAAAGCTTCTGCAAATTCTGTGCCTTCCTACTCCATCATCCCCACATTTATTTTCATCTATCAATGATCTCTCAATTTATCATCTTCAAGAAGAGATCGATAATTGATTAGATTTAAAAAGCATCAAGGGATAAGGGGAGACACAGGAATTTGGAATTGGAATACAGGATTGAATGGCAGAGCAGGCTTGATGGGCCGAAAGTGTTTCTAATGGGAAGGGAACACTTGGTTTAGAAAAATGTTGGGTTTCAATGTTTTTTAGAAGTCTTGGCTGAAGCAGGATATTTGCTCCTGAAAAAGGAAGATCGAAGATCATAGATCATAGAATTCCTAGTGTGGAAACAGGCCCTTTGGCCCAACAAGTCTACACCGACCCTCAGAGCATCCCACCTAGACCCATCCCCCTATAACCCACATGATCTACATATCCCTAGATACGATGGATAATTTAGCATGGCCAATCCACCTAGCCTGCACATCATTGGACTTTGGGAGGAAACCAAAGCACCTGGAGGAAACCCATGCAGACACGGGGAGAATGTGCAAACTCCACATAGACAGTCGCCCGAGGGTGGAATCAAACCTGGAAGATACGTAACTTATTTCTTAAACGGTTCTAAACTAAGTGCAAGGAGCTTAGTTTTAGAATTCCAGACTAGAAGTATTTGATTATAGCTCTGAAAGAGTTAATTTAAAACTGAGTATGCCCAAACATTTTATTTAAATCCAAACATTGTTATATGAAGGCTCCAGAACATTTTCTAGAAGGGGAATTGAAAGCAGTAACATTAAGTTCATAGATGTGAAAGAGAAGTGTATTATCTGTGGTGTGAGCACTGTAGTAGAGTGCTTTTGGAATTAATGGGATTGTATTCGACCAATGTGTTTCAAAGTCAACGTAAAACAACTGCATTGTGGTGAGGTTTATTGCATGGAATTTGAAGATGGCTTTGAATGTTGCTGAAGTTTTCTGGAAGTGGAAGGTAAAACAGTGAATTGTTTGAAGTCTTTAAAGCTAAACAGGGTGTAAGCAAATAAACTGAAGATGGACAAAAATGAAAGATCTGGTAAGGATAAAGATGCTTCAAGTAATTATCAAACAATTGGAAGAAAGTAAACCTGAAATTTCACAGTTGTGGTTGGCCAAGATACAGTTGAGATAAGACTCGAGATAGATGAATAACAAAGTAATGGGGAAGAGTAAAGAAAAAGTGAAATTTAAGGTTAAAGATAAACAGTGAACAACGAAAAGAGATAGAATTGACAAAACGTGAACACCAAAGAGATAAGCAATTAGAGAACATGAGCTGGCCACAAAACATCTTAAAGCAAAGGGAAAATGGAGAAGTTACTAGGTTTAGAGAACAGAACAGAAATCAAAGAAATAAAGACGACAGACTGGAATCAAAGTCTGATATAAAGAAATTAACAGTCTTCCATTGTACTAAGCCTGAACATACCAAATGGAAGTCAAATGGGAGACTGCAGACTGATGGAATGGACAATATATGCTGGCTGAGTCAGCAATGCCCATATCCCATGAATGAATAAAACAAATTAAGACCAACTTCAGAATGTTTTTTTTTGAAAAGGAAACTTTTCTTTTGCAAAAAGTGAAGCAAAATGCAGAACATTAAACATTTAGCCAGTCCAAACAATTGGCTGAAATTGTCTGCTGGCAGCTTACAGCGTTCTGCTTTTGTCCAATTTTCTCTCAACTCTGCAGATCAGAATCTATGAATGCCCTTTAGATCCTGATCCAGAGTTTATTTCATTTTGATGGTAGTATGCTCCTACACTAAGGCAGAGTTATTGGATCAGAAACATGGACAGTGTACAGCAGTCATCTCAAAAGCCTGGAGAGTTCTGTCTTTGAAAAATACTGCAAATCAGGATCAGCATACCCCCAATGTAAGCCACTATCCTCAGCATTGAGTCACTGGTCACGTACGGCCAACTGTGATGGGCAGATCACATGCCTAACCCAAGACTCCCTAAACAAGTGCTCTATTTCAAACTTAGAAATGATAAGCAATCATCACAAAGACACCCTGAAAGCCTCCTTCAACGGATGTGGCATCCTCACTGACATCATGGGAATCACTTGCCCTAGAATACACAAACTGGAGGACAAGCATCTGCAAAGGCAACAACCACTTCGAGCGTCACCAAGCAGAGCAAATGGAGGCAAGCAAGTTTGTGGAAAGAGCATGAAGCTGATAGGTGAAGTTTGATTTAAAAAAAGAACCTGCAAATAGATCATGAGATTCAGAGTTTGTGGAAACAGGGAACTTGGATGTATAGGGTGAAAGAGGGGAAGTGTTGTACAACAGCAAAACCAGATCACACAAAACTAAGTCCTGAGACTAGCATTCCAGCAGTGTCTTCTCACATATTCCCTTCATTAATATACGGCTGTTGATACTCACTGACATGGGTTTAAAGTACCTTCTACAACCTCGACTTCATCATCATACAGTCTCTGTAGTACATAAATATATGCACTTATCAGTTAGCCTAAAAGCCTATTTACATTGTACAATTTAAATTACATGGAGTTCTTTGTGGTGTCCTTAGTTCCAGTCACATTTTTGGACAAACACATCTCTGTTTAGCCTCAGAAACCTTAATGTTGTTATTTAGGGACAATGCAAATACTTTATTCAGTACTTTGATACTTTTCGCTTTAGCACATTGTGTAACATATATGAAAGTAATCCCTAAGTGTAAGGATTAGAGGGATGGGAAATAAATTAGAAGACTGCCATAAGAAAACTAAATACAATGCATATCTTGGATTATAATTATTATTAGCTTAGATGATTGATTTTTGAATGACTTCGTTAAAAATACCTCCATATGAATCATATCAATTTGCGTTTCCAAGCTTATCTTCTGGGGAGGAGATCAGCGGTTTCATTCTGTCAAAAAAAAAAGTTTTAAAAAATCAATAAGGAACAAACAGTACAATGGATTCACAGCAAATGTGGAAAATTAGACAAAGTTTATGAACTCAAGGACTTCCATAATAATTTAAAATCCCCAATCATTTACTTAACAAATATAAAAGCAACCACTGAAAGATGTCTACCTTACCGCTAGAATTTATGCTACCATTTAACGAAGCCATAAAAACAGTCCATAGATCACATATATTTGTAATCATTGAAAATTATCAGAACAATTCTTCTTGTTTATTCTTATCCCTGTTGAGTTCTGGTGTCACGTCTCTGGAGAAATTCTTCTGTCCTTTGGGAATTGAGTTGGCAATTTTTTAAAATATGGGGCAAATTCACCAATCTAGTTTTACCCATGGAGAATCATACCCAAAAGGAGTATAAATTTGAATTAGGGAGTTTTAGATTTACATTGCAGCACCAGGTTTCAAAGCTGTAGTTACTATTGGTCACAGCGAAGCAGGACATAGACTCTGGTCTCAGATTTTTCTTTTGTCTCTAACTCACTCAAAATTGTTGTAAGGTCAATTAACACTAAGGCCTTATACAGCTGGATACCTTGATTTGTTCATGAAATAGGCCATTGAAAAATATTGACTATTTTGGCACTAATTTTTAAATCTTTCTTATTTGTTCAAAGGAATGTGGTCATCGCTAGCTAGGTCAGCATTTATTGTTCATTCCTCTTTGTCTGGAGGTGGTGGTGGTGAGCTGCCTTCTTGAATCACTACAGTCCTTGAGGTATAAGGGCACCCACAATGCTGTTAGAAAGGTAGTCGTAGTCATAAAGTGTCACACAGAGCAGAAAAGGCCTCTTGGTCAATCAAGCATGCACCAACAATAGCTACCACTAAAGGCACACAAATCCCAATTTCCTGCAGTTGTCCCATGTCCTTGAATGTTATGACATTTAAAGCGCTCATCCAAATATTTTTTTTAAAGATTGTACGGTTTCCAACGTCCACTACCGTCCCAGGCATTGCATTCCACATTCCCACCACCCGGAGTGAAAAAGCTTTTTTCTCAAATCTCCTCTGAATCTCCTGCCTCTTACCCTAAAACTATGCCCCCTCGTGATTCATTCCTTAACCAAGGGAAATCGCAGATCCCTACTCACTCTTTCCATACCCCTCAAATCATAACCCCCTCAGCCTTCTCTGCTCCAAAGAAAACAATCCAAGCCTATCTAGTCTCTGCTTATAATTCAACTTCTCCATTCCAGGCAACATCTTTTGCGAACCTCTTCTTCTTCCCCTCTAGTACTATCACAGTTTCCTGTAATGAGATAACCATAACTGCACACAGTACGCCAGCTGTGGCCTAACTAATGATCTGTAAAATTCCAAGATTACCTCCTTGCTTGTTATATTCTGTGCTACGAATGATGAAAGCAGGTGTCCCATATGCCTTCTTGACTATTGTATTCATGGTGCCAACTTCAGGGATCTGTGAATAATTACCTCAAGATCCCTCTGTTCCTCTGAGCTACCCAGTGTCCTGGCATTCACTGAATATTCCCTTGTCTTGTTTCTTCTTCTAAAGTGCATCGTCTTGCACTTATCACGGTTAAATGCCGTCTGTCACTGATCTGCTCGTCTGACCAATCCATCTATATCTTCCTGTAACCTTCAACCATCTTCATCATTACTGACTATCCAACCAATCTAGGTGTTGTCTGCAAACTTGCTTAACATTTCCCCTTACATTTTCAACTGTATCATTTACGGTATACAAGAAACAATAAGATTTCCAGCACTGATCCTTGTGGTGCAGTGCTGGAGACCATCTTCCAGTCACTCAAACAGTAATGGTAGAAGGCTGTTCATGTTCTATTACTAATCCAGCTTCTGATCCATCTCACCAAGTTTTCCCAAATTCCATGTGCTTTAAACTTCTCATGTGGGACTTTGTCAAAAGCTTTGCTAAAATCCACATAAACTGCATCAGTCAAACTTCCCTCATCCACAGACTTGAACACATTTTCAGGAGTTCCAGGTATTTTACTCAGCGAAAAAGAAGAAACAATGATATTGTTTTAAGTCAGAATGTTGAGTGGCTTGGAGGGGACCTTGCAGGCGATAGAGTTTCCATGCAGTTCTTGCCCTTGCTAGTGGATGTGTATTCACAAGGTACTTTTATGGCCCCTTCGTGCTGTTACTCTTCAATAATGTTTGTAAAGATCTAAACCTTGACAAATTATGGCAAGATTTTTAAAATGCTTTTAATGGAATTGTGAGATCTCTTCAAAGTTTTATTGCTATTCTTTAATCATAGAATCCAGACAGTGTGGAAACAAGCCCATTGGCCCAACAAGTCCACACTGACCCACAGAGCATCCCATCCAGACCCATTCCCCTATAAACCACATAATCTACACATCCCTGAACCCTAGGGGCAATTTAGCATGACCAATTCACCTGGCCTGCACATGGGAGGAAACCCGTGCAGACACGGGGAGAACATGGAAACTCCACACAGACAGTTGCCCGAGGATGGGATTGAACCCGGGTCCCTGGCGCTGTGAGGCAGCAGTGTTCACCATTGAGCCACTGTGCCACCCAAGTGAGCTACTCTAAAGCTTCCTCTGGATGGTACACACTGCTGTCACTGTGCATTGGTGATGAAAGGAGTGAATGTTGAAAATGGTGCTAATCAAGCAGGTTGCTTCATCCTCAATGGGGTCAAGCTTTGAGTGTTGTTGGAGGTGCACCCATCCAAATTGATAGACAGCATTTCATCGCACTCCAGATTTGTATTTTGTAGATGGTATACTGGCATTGAGAAACAAGCTGAGTTACTCACTTCAGAACTTCTAGTCACTGTCCCACTCTTGGAAACAGTATTTATATGGCTAGAGATAGTCGGAACTGCCGATGCTGGAGTCCGAGACAACAAGGTGTAGAGCTGGATGAACAAAGCAGGTCAGGCAGCATCAGAGGAGCAGGAAAGCTGACGTTTTGGGTCTGGACCCTTCTTCAGAAAAAAATTTTCTGATATGGTAACCCCTACGATGGTGATAGTGGGAGATTTAGTGATGGTAATGCCATTGAATGCCATAAAGGTAAGTGATGGCCTGATGGTATTATCACTGGAATGTTAATCCAGAGACGCAGATAGTGCTTTGGGGACCCAGGTTCAAATCCCACCATGGCAGATGGTGGAATTTGAAATCAATAAAATATCTGGAATTAAAAGTCTAATGATGATTGTGAATCTATTATCGATTGTTGGAAAAACCTATCTGGTTCACTAATGTCCTTTAGGGACATTCCTGCCATCCTTACCTGGTCTGGCTTACATATGACTCCAGACCCACAGCAATGTGTTTGACTCATAACCGTCCTCTGGGCAATTAGGGGTGGGCAATAAATGCTGTCTAGCCAGCAACGCCCTCATCCCATGAATGAATAAAGAAAAAAACGAATTGAACGTCAGAGTAACCATTAAATTCTCTATTGTTGGAGATGACGTGGCACTTGTGTCTCCTGTTTTTTTTTCATTGAGCATATATAGTTTTTAATACATGGTGCATGTGTTCACCACTCATCGTGTTTGCAACTGGATAGCTGAGGATAATTCTACCTACAAGGACCAGAACAAGAGAGCAAATGTAGCATTTCAGTTTCCAATGTTGATGCAAGATGGGATAAATCAAAGAAGCATGGATAACCAGAGACCAAAACATTCTTCTGCAATGTTGTGCTTAAAAAATGAATTCAAACAGACCATTAAGGGTTAATTGGACATGACAATGACTGATTGAATTAAAGTGGAAAAATACACGAAAACACGAAAAACAGGCCTAATTCAAATTAGGAATGGGTCTGTCTAGGTCTGTGCGTGTGCAGCTCCTCGACCTTGATTGTTGGTAGGAACCATCTGCTTGTGTGGTCCACATGAGGCCACCTGGATTTGTTTTGCAACTATTCTGAAAACTGGAATGGTACCGAGTTATGTCGAAATGGGGATTAAACATGTAAACTTAGAATCTGAATAGTCTTAATATCAGGGACTTTGCCCCGTTCATTTGAATTCACACCATCAGGTTGGGGTTCACGCAACTGATGCCATGGAATCTGAGATAGAGCTCAGAGTGCCGCTGTTGCTAAAAGTCCACGATAGATGCAAAGGCAGTGTGAGACTCACTAGTTTATCTCAGTTGTTTAACCTAATCAAAACTATATAATGAATACATGTATCAGCAGTATAATATATGAATTGATAATTCTTAGTTTAAGTATTTTAACTGAATAAATTAGCTGCATATTGAAGTACACGTGTCTTGTAATCATTTTGATCGGACCTTAAAGAACGCGGTAGGTATTTTCAGCCTAACAAACAGCTTCCAACTCAACATACTTGGAGGTCAGTCGAGAGAGGATTTCACTCTTCTGTGAACAGTAAAAAGGATCAAATACAGAAATAATCTTTAATCAAACATCCGTATCCACATGGGGCACTGCTGGCATAACAGCCTGGACTGCAGCACTTATCCTGCAGTAAAGTGCTGTGCACCCACTGAGCAAAGAGAGATAGACACCACCCCCCAACCACCCTTGGTGATACTGAATTGAATACAATCACGATCATCCTAACTGGAAGCCTGTGCTCAACACCTCTATTCTGCATTCCTGTCCTATCAATAATCTCTCCACCATATATCTGCTGTGACTCACTAAAATATGACTGGTTGAAACCACACATTGCAGCTTGTTCAACCCATCTATCTCCTCACTTGGACACTTGTCCTGAACAAGATCGATCATCAGAAACCTGGTGAATCAAGAAATGAGAAACATGGGAAGTCACTAACAAGCTCTTTGTGCTTTTATTTCAGACTTCATCACCTGGTGCATGTAGCTTTGGTGCTCAGGTTTAGAGTATGCTAAAATATACCAATTTGGCTTCTTTCTGTTCAACATTCCAGTGCTTCTGTTCAAAATTATGACTCCAGAGAGTTTCTG